CAGATGCTGCCAGACCTGCTGAGATTTTCCAGCGACTTCTGTTTTTGTTCCTGAATGATCCTGGGGCTGAAGAGCTTGTCAGATGAGGAATAGTTGAGGACTCTGGTTCTGTACTTAATGGAGTTTAGAAGGATGGAAGGTGGCATATGATTAGAACTGCCAATATCTGAATAAGGGTTCTGACCCAAAATGTCGACTTTCCTACTCCTCTGCTGCCTGACCTCCTGTGTTCCTGTAGCTCCATGCTGTGTTGACTCGGAACACTGAGGGGTCTGGATAGTGTGGAAACTGTTTCCACTAGTATGAGGGCACACCTCAGAGGGATGACCTTTCAGAATTGAGATGAGGAATTTATTCAGCCAGAGGGTGGGTAATCTGTTGAATTCATTGCAGCAGAGAGCTGTGGAGGCCAAGTCATTGAATGTGTTTAAGACAAGTTCTTGAATGGTAAGGGCATCAAGTGTTTGGAGAAGGCAGGAGAATTGGATTGAGAAACATGGCAGGCATGATCAAACGGTGAAGTAGATCAATGGGCTGAATGGCCCGCTTCTGTTTCTGTATCTTGTCGTCTTTGTTAGTGCTCAAATGGATTTGTTTTTCTATCTTATTCCCCTCCCCCACCTCTTTCTCTTCTGTCCTAATCCTCCTTGCTTTCTGCCCATCTCCTTCCTTTGTTCTCAAGTTAGATTGTACTCTCCTTTTCCCATCCCCACTAATCTGTGTGTCTGTAACATGCTTCTTTGCACAACCCTGGCTGAATTGTAAGTTTATCCTCTGGTAGATTGTATCATCTTTTCCCTCATCTTTGTACTATTTCTCTCAATTTATCAATTACTTTTTTTCCCATTTGTTCACATCGCCCACTTTTCTGTTTGTCCCTAAGCCTATCCCACTGAAAAAAATTCCAACTGCTCTCTGGAGTGTGTATTAACATGTTCGTAGTTGACTTATAAATTGGCTGAAGTCTATTCTCCCACTGTACAATGACATAAATCATGGAAGGGAAGGGAGTGCGTGAGGTGTCAAGCACTGGTATACATCGATAGTGGGAAGTGAAACAGGAGTTTTGCAATTCAAGAAAACTTGAAAGCACTGTGCAACTCCTCACTAAAGACAAGTTTTAAATAGTATCAGATCTATGCTGAAACATCCTCATAATAAATGTACCCAGTAATGTGGACTTTGAACGTGTTACGGCAATTTCGGTTATGTGCATTTTGATAATGATATTCTTATAATTGTTTAATCCTAAATTGGTTTCTGCCTAATGTACTTGTATAAACTAGCTTGAGTGTACATATCATATGTTGCTAGCTAATTCTCTTAAGCCTTTTATTCTGAAATGTGTGTTTGTGACTTCTTACAATTTGTGATTTAGCTTTGCTTCAACTTAATTTAGCTTTAACTCATCACCTAGCATAGAATAGAGCATCAATGTCAGATTCTTTTTTTTTAAAAGAAGAGTCCTTCACACGTAGAAAAGTCCTGAATGTTTAAAGCAGTAATAGAAGACACTGAGAATGCGATGGAGAGAAAGGTAGTCAAAGGCTCAAATGAAAATAAAATTAAGGAGATTTTTGAATACTGGCAACAAAAATTGCTGGGAAAACTCAGCAGGTCTGGCAGCATCTGTAGAGAGAAGTCAGAATTAACGTTTTGGGCCTAGTGATCCTTCCTCCGTGCAGGCCCTCTGAGGAAGGGTCACTGGAGCCGAAATGTTCACTCTGATTTTTCTCTATTGGTGCTACCAGACCTGCTGAGCTTTTCCAGTGATTTGTTTTTGTTTCCGATTTACAGCATCCACAGTTCTTTTGGCTTTTATTTGAATACTGGCAGTTAGGAATTAAAATGTCCTAAATGGTGCAATAACTAAAATAATCCCTTGATAATCTGAATTTTCCTAAACATTTTATATTGAATTCTTTGATTAAAATTTTAATTATTCTTTAAGAATGTCATATCCTCTCAGAAGAAGTGTTTGAGAAGAAGGATACTGTACAAATGTAGCGTGCTTATGTTTTGTTTAAAGTTCTGAGTAGTGAAGGTTTTCCTTTTATTAAATTGTTACCTGGAACCTTTTAAAAATTGACATGTTGGAAACTAAGTCTTTTCCAAAAGGTCATGTGGTGGAAATAGGAGGAAGACAGTAATGTCAGTTTTAGAATTAATACAAATATCTGTGACTAACTGCCTGTAAAACTTGTGAAATAATTATAGTCATGTGGTAGCTTTCACAAAGTGTACAGCAAACTTGATATTTCTTCAGAAATTAAGAATAAAGAGTTAGCAAAAACTGTGCATAAAACGTAGATCTCTCTTGCAATCCTAATATTTGGGAACCACTATTTGAACTTTTTTTAAATCTTGCTCTTCAACTTTTATTTAGAAATCTACTTGCCTTCAACAAACCAGCGTATTAACAGCAGAAATATTTTTGGATGGTTAAAGGTCAAATCTCTGGATATATACTGCACTTCTTGTCTTTTGTTAATGTACATTTTATAGTGCATATTTCTTTGCATGTCTTGTACAAGAATATATTTTCCCTAAACTTTAGTAATGTAAATGATTAGCTCTCCTCTTGCACAATGTTTTCTCTTAATACAGAATACTCTGATTCTAATTAGTTTACAGCTTTATTAATTAATTGTGTAGACACTTTGTCCCACTTAATGAGTGATATATTTAGTCAGCAGAGCTGAGAATCTTGAGTGCAGTTCAAGAACTTATTTTCCATGGAGGAAGGGGTGGGGATAAGTTATTGATCAAGTTTAACAATGGCCCAGAAATTATACACAGTGTTAATTAGATTTCAAGACTGAAGTATTAAATTACAAGCTCCGTTCCAGATCAACATTTGAATGGATACCTAGAAACACACATGGCCTATTGTTGACTGTGCACTGATCCTACAATATTATGGTAAATGAATAACACTGCAAATGTCTTGGGTGTAAAACCTGCACGTTGCTAATTCCTAGTGTTAGCCATTAAGAATTCTTCTGTCCCTTTGTTTGGGAAAGAAATGTTTGATGCTTTGTTGTTTAGGTATGACCTGAGTCAGATATGTAACCTAGTGAAATGTGATGTGTATCAAATTAAATTGATGTTCTGCAGTTGCAGAACATTAATTTGTGTGCATTAGAACTTGGTGTCAAGTATCGGTTTTAGTTTGTGATATTTGCTGATCTATTAAATCAGGAATCTGGACTTGTCCTATTATGTGTGAACATCATCAGTGTATGTTATGAATGTGTATTGGTTGATGTGTAGTGTTAAATTTTGGAGCAAGGCAAATATAGCAACCTCCAATGTAATCTTTTGGATTAATTTGGGTTGAGGTGGTCTAGTTTGTGCCAATTTCTGATTCAATAGCTCTGCACTGGCTATCTTTGTTCTGAGCTGAACAGCTATAGCACACTTGTTAAATACTACAACAGTATAACACATGAACTTGTTTATTTCTGCCCACTTGTGAGATTACATTACCATTTTTTTCTATAAACTTTCAGCAGAATCAGAGCTTTATTGTACCATTTCAGGAGACCATTTACCCTGTCATGTCTATACCAGCTCTCAAAATTGCAATTCACTCGTAGCATTCTCCATCTTCTCCCTGTAACCCTGCATGTTCTTCTTTTCAGATAACAGTCTAATTTCCTTTCCACTTCCTGCTGGTGACTTTAGGATTTAAGATATATCTGTTCAGTGGAATGCTGGGTTTTAGATGTAACACAATTTAATGGGATATTTTTCTTCATGGGATATGTTACCCAGCAAGGTGAAGAAACATTTGCAATCAAATACTGGCTCGGTGAGCAAGTCTACAACCTCATCCACAATCCGAGCTACAAATCTTCTCAGGAAAAAATTCTTCCTTTTCTACTAATTTCTTTCCTCACTCAATCTCCTGAAGCCATTAATGAGTTGAGTGTACTGGTAAAAGAACCGGAATGGCAGTCAAGATGTGAATTCAAATCAAACAACGGCCACATTATAAAATTGAATTAAATTAATTTGTTGGTTTGGCACCAGAAAGTGCTGCTAAATTGTTGTCATCTGTTTTGATTGTTCCAGCATCACCCATGTGGCTGTTTTTGATTTGTGAAC